GCGCAAATGAGCTGATGGTACGGATCGTGCTTCCGGTACGGATCGGGTAATGACAAGGTCCACTTTCTATAAATGTAGGAGCCTGGTAAGGACCAGCAGGCATTTGGGTTAGGGGTCTATGGGTTTTTTTTAACCAGTGCAAGACAGGTGACAGAGCAAGGGAATGTTTGAACTCTATAATGTTGCTAGAATATAGGAAATAAATCAACTGAACATCTACAAGTTTAAACTTCAGCTTCTTTTGCCTGCGTCAAGAAAACGTGACCCCTGCGCCTAAGTAGTGGCTTATTGGAACTTTATTGGATGTTTGGTTTGACAAACAACTGCCATTACAGGCTGCATCTAAAAATATCAAAGATATTTTCAATTTAAGCACATATATGAAATAATATAATTTAACCTACTATAACTTTAAATTATATCATTGTATTACATATTTAAATTCAATTCAGTTTATTGTGTCAAATCAGCTGCCTGTAGTGTCTTTAAAGGTCCAGCAGGTGTCAGTATTCTGTGAGACAGCATCAATGCAGCATCAATACAGTTTGGCAATGTGTCAAAACACTTCAAGGTGCCTCATTAACCCATCACTAGTTCCACTTAAAAGCTCCACCAATAAAAAGCAGGAAACTGATTCTATAAATCCGTTTATTAGGCCTGACTGCTGACCCAGTGTCTCACTAAAGTAAATACACCCCTGAGACGGTCACAATAGGCTGTAAATCATTCAAGTTAACACTGAAGATCTGTCACACTGTTTAAATTTATTCCCCCTTAAAATAAGTCAAACCGCCGTTTAGTCAAATATGGCTGTGCTGAGTTATTTAAAGTCCAAAACAAATTTCCACTGTTGTACAAGCTGTCCCGTGAAGAGATGAAAGCTATGAAACATGATGTAAGTTGCTTTAATGACGCTCTACAGAAGGCAGAGTTAGATGAATATTGATTTAATATTCTGCTGCAATCTTTAAAAAGGCTTAATGCACTTTTTCCTCTGAAGGATCTGAACTCATTCATCAAAATAAAAATGAAAATGAAACTGCTTATAAATAACAATAAAAAATCTGCTCATCTGCAGAATTACACATAATTAACTGAAAGGTTTTTCTTATTCTAACAAAAAATGTAAACAAAGCTGCTCTGTTTGGGTTGAAGGCTTCACCTGTTTAGCATTTCTGATTCTTTTCTTCCTGCATTGATTTTAGGGCTGAAAAATATCAGATTAATCCATTATTGAAATAATCGTCAACTAATTTAGTAATTGATTAATCATTAACTGGAGTAAAGAGACTATAAAATATGCCTCTTGCTGAAAGAGCAACCCACTTAGCGCAGTAATTTGATCTAGATTGTAAACAAGAATATGACCATTTTGCCTTTAAGCTGAATAAAATACTTTTGTTCTGTCAATCTGCTCTATCCAGCCTCCTCAAGTGGAAAGCTTTTAGTTTCATCTGATTTGATTTTGTACAAAGCATTCTTTAAGGAACCTTTTGCTATCCGTTTATTAATTGATAAATCGGGAAAAAGAATCAACAGATTAATCTGTTTGCGAAATAATCTTTAGTTGCATCCCTAATTGGTTTAATAATTGTCTGTCAATATCAATAAAATAAGCTGCTCAGGAGCTAAAAGGAGGAAAGGAACCAGCTGAGGGGGCTCTGACATCTGTTCCGGATGCCTCATGGAAGGCCCAGGACTCGCTGGAGGGTCTCTGAGCTGACCTGGTGTCGATTCGGGGTCGCCGCCAGAGCTGCTGGGGGAAGTGTGTGTGGAGCAGGAACTCTGGGCATCTGTCCTTAGACTGCTGCCTCCGCAACCCGCCCCCAGATAAAGCGGAAAATGGAAGAAAATGGATCACTAAAACCATTCAAGGATTCTAAAATAATAACAACCAAGACACCTCAGTGCATAAAAGTAAGAAACTAGATGCTGGCTGACGTCCCAGACAGCTCTAAGTTATAAGGACCTCAGCTCTACCAGCCTCTCTGTCCTGAAAAGTAACCAGCCTGCAGCCATTCATGAACTCTGCAGTTTATTTGTTTATTATTGCAGGTTTGTGCTTCACAGCCTGGGGTACACAACAATACAAAGATACACAAAATGCACAAACCTCAAACACAGATCTTCTCTACAGATGTGTACATCTTATTTCCCAAGTTCACAAAACCCTTATTTAGGAAGGTTGGCAGATTTGTGCAGCTTCTAGTGTTCCTTAATGGTTTAACAAAGTCTTACTGGTGGAAGCAAAGGAAGCTTTTTAATACCAGTCTCTTCATCAAGCTTCGGATTTATTTCCTGTTTCTATATTATTGGAAACATGTCAGCAAAGACGCTGAATATATTTGTTTGTTTTTTTCTTATAAATAAATTTAAGACAAGTTACGGATGAGATTTTTTCTAACTTTTTTAAAGCTCTGATTTGTTTCGACACATTTCCGTCTGCAGCTCCTGAACGAGCGCCTGATGGGAGCTGAAGGAACCAAACTGGATGAAGATTTCCTGAAGATGGAGAAGGTGAACGCAGCACGACACATTTGCGCTGCAATCCCTCCTCAGAGCAGAGAGACTGAATGAATTTCCCTCTGTGTGCTTTCATTAGACGATCGCAGTTATCAACCTGCTGCTGGCTGAACTCCTGTCCAGAACCACAGAGTTCCTGCAACCAAACCCAGGTACCGGGTCCATGGAGAGGCCCGACCAGCATCCAGCTCACAGGCCAACAAACATCTGAACTTGTGTGAAGTCAGAAATATGGGAACGGACCCAATAAATAGGCTGAATCTCAAACTGTCCCCTAACATCTAAAGGCTGATTTATACTTCAAAACCAGGTCGCCTGCGTGTGTGTCGTAGTAAACGAAAATGTGCCCCCGCCCCTTCCGCACACACTCCGCACCTCTCCCAAATTGTAGGTTGTACGCAGACAGGGGGCCTCTGATTGGTCAAATCTGCATCCTCTCTACACTATACGTATTTCCTGTTTGGTACCTTACCGGCTTTTTTTGTTTGTGTGACCGCCATTGTGGAAAACGACTCGTGAAGATGGACCAGCTAGAAGAGCGAGGTGCGCGAGAACATTTTCACCCTCATGTCCCTCCGTTTTCGCACAAACTTGCTTTCGTTATTGTCCGTGGGGACGCAGCCCTGAGGGTAGCCTGTGTTTATGGTGATGACAGCAGAGGTGCTCTGTCCGACCCGGCCTGTATGAGGTCTGACGATCTCCCTCTGAAGGGGATCAAATAAAACTATTTCAAAGAGGACCTTCCATTTAGGGATTAATTATATCTTTTTTCTTATCCCTATATTGTTATTTTCTGCGAGTGTGATGAAGCAGACCGGCGGAACTTACATTTCAATGCACGTTTTTCCTCCACAACCAGTTTGCTGTTACACCTGCAACCAAATTCCACAGAGCCTGCACTGATGCACACTCACTATTTAAGGGCTGAACGCTCCACTCGCCCTACCAACTGAATGGTTTGGGACAGCCCTTAATGTGACGTTTCCTCCTCGGGAACCCGCAAACAGAGGGTTAGGGTTTAGGGTTAGTGTTTAGGGACCGGTTTGGGATTGGGTCAAACTCACATGCAGTTTCATTTAAAACATTAACTATTCTCCGCTCACATTTGAAATGTTTCAGCACCACCAGACCTGATATGTCTCATGAGTCTTTCCCTCTTCTCTTGCTCTCTTCGCACCTGTAGCCTCTCTCCTACTCAAATGTTTCTGCTGGGTGTGACAACTATGATTAGTTTGAGGATCGTTTCCACTGCCTGTGATTGGCTGCCTTTCAGGAAGCGCATCTTCTTCACGCAGTACTCTTTCCTGACTAGTAATGCTAGCAAAGCATCTTCAGGCTAATCACTGTCCTCTCAAAAAGTTAAACATTGGTTAACAACTGAAGAGTTCATTAATTAGTTTAGTACTACTGACAGCATTAGCAATGTGCTCTAAAATAATTAATGTTAAATGTTTTACTTTGTATCAGCTAAGCTAACATTAGCGTCCATGTTTGTGTTGAGTAAAGTGAGACTTGTAGGAAATCTAGTTTATAGTTTAACGCAAATATTTA